CGCGCGCGGCCGAGCCCTCCGCAGCCCGAGACAAAAAGGCGGCGGCGCGGCCCTCAGAGGCGCCGCTCCGCGCGGCCCCGCCGCCCCCGCCCGGCTCGCCGCCCCGCGCTCACCGTGATGCTCTGGAAGATGCCGCCGGCCGTGGCCGCCCAGACGTACTTGGCGTCGCAGTAGCCCACAATGGCGGCCTCCTGGCAGCAGCCATCGCACATCAGGTTGTCCACGTAGCTCTGCCAGCCGGCCATCTTCGGCGGGGCGCGGGCGGCGGCAGCGAGCGGCGGCAGCGAGCGGCGCGGCGCGGGCCGGGCGGCGGCAGAGGCGAGGCGAGGCGCCTCTCCCTCCTCTCGAGCGGACCGAGCGCTGCGGCGAGCGGCGCGGCCCAGCCCAGCCCAGCCCTCCGCGCTGCCGGCGCCGGGGGGCGGGGGGAGGAGGGGCGCGGCCCGGCGCCGCCCCCTTCCCGCACCGCGCGGCCGGCGGAGGCTCTCGGCGGCGCTGCTCGGGCGCGGGGCGTTCCGCGCCTGCGGTTCCGCAGCGGCCGCCGCTCCGCTCGGCTCCCCGGGGCTGCGCGGGTGCGGTGCTGCGGGGCGCCGCCTTTTCCCAGCCTTTCTAAGCCGGGAGACGGTTGAAGATTGCGCTGGCGTCCCAGAAATCGCATTGTTCTCCGCTCCTGGAAGCGAGCGCCGCTTGGGTGCATCCCCTTTGTTTCTGCAGAGCCTCTCACGCGCAGAGCCGCGGTTGCGGTCTGCAGAGCGGAGCCCCTCCCGGCAGCGCGGCAGCGCCGTGCCGCACGCGGAGCTCCCTTCGGTCGGCGTTACCGCGGGGCGCGGCGTTGGCTCCGCTCTGCGGGCCGCGTCTCCTTTCTGTACATCTCACGTTTGCCGTTGCGTACTTCGCCGGCTGCCGGAATCCTTCAGGAACGCGCTGCCGGCGCTAGCAGCCGGCCGCGGTGCGCTGCCCTGCACGTGTCCCACTGAAGCGGTCAGAGGGTTTCTGTGTCAAATCGTTGATCTTGTTATTAAGGTGGTACGCTCCCCATCTAAGGTATTAGCATCTGCTCCAGGTGGCAGCAATAGGATAAGAGGTGATGACCTCACGTTGCGCCGAGGCAGGTTCGGGTTGGAGATTAGGAAATATTCCTTCTCGGAAAGAGTGGTCAGGCGCTGGCGTGGGCTGCCCAGAGAAGTGGTGGGGTCGCCGTCCTGCAGGTGTCCAGGGACTGTGGAGACATGGGCTGAGGGCTGTGGCTCAGCAGGCACGGTGGGGATGTCTTGGAGTTGGACTTAATGGCCTTATGGGTCTTTACAAATCTTAATGATTCCATGTTTCTAAGTTGGAGTTTATATCTGAATTTTCCAAGGAGTAGAATGCAGCAATTGGATGTCTTTTCCTGTGGTTGTATCCCCCAACAAGAATATTCACTGATATACCTATAATGTACTTGAGAGTGTTCTCAATCCTTTAAAACCTAAATCGATTGTTGTGGGATTGCCTGTTGTTTAGATACTGTATGGTAACTGTTGAGTCTTAGGCTGAACCACTGATGGAGCACCTGGGGAAAGGACCAGGTCAGCCCTGGGAGCTCAGGTGAAGGCAATTCAGGTGTGGGACCAGAAGGGGTGGAGCCTGGCTGCACCTCTCTTGGACCCCATTGAAGGGCTGACTGCCACAGGGGAAGGGTCTCTGCTTGGAGGTTCCTCTCCTGAGGTGGTTTCCCTGTGAGCGTAGATCTTCAGAGACCGGTGAGCAGTCCTTTCTTCAGTCCTTTCTTCCTTTTAATGCTGTTCTGTTGCATTAGTCCCTTTGTCATTACATCTCTTGTATTGCTGTTCTATTGTGCTGATCTTTCTGATGTAGGTATGCATAGAGCTTGCTTAGATTGCTAGATGCTTTACGAAGGCATTATTGTCCATCTCTTAGCTTAATTCCGTGAGTGTTCCTCAGTTTTGTTTTCACAGTGCTTTTGCCATTCTGCATTTGAACTGCCTCAGAATTTTGCTATCTGCGGGTACCAAGACTGTGCTCTCATCACTGTATGTATTAACAGGTCAGAGGCAGTAAATTTGCTTTCAGCTTTTCCAATAGCTAAATGTTTCCGTGAGGTTTGGATTGCCTTTATCATCCTCTTTTCCCAGACTGGTTTTGTGAGGGGAAAAAAAAGAAAAGTTTTTCTCTGTCTGAAGTTGCTGCTGAGGCTGCTTCTCTTTCTTGGTGCTCTCCTGTGGGAGATCCCAGTATAGTGCTTATTTGCACAGATGGAATGCATCATCCTTAAATGAGTAAGGGGCTGTCGGGTTTGTTTGTTTTGGAGTTGTACCCAATTGTGTTTGGGTTTTTTTGTGTATGTGGTTTGGATTTTACGTTGTTTTTGCATGCCCTGGTCAGGATTCCAGATTGCTTCACTTTAATAAGTGTATTTAACAGATCCAGGTAGGCATCATTCTGAACCCAGGGGCAGGCCGTGGGGATTCTTGGTTTGCTGGTGTTATTATCTGTTGATTAATTGGATCCAGCAGCTCTGTGGTGTTGGGAAGCAATATCACACTTGTATTTTATGAACATATTAATATTATTTTTGAAGTGAGTTGAGAACTGCATTCTGGGGGAGAATCGCAGTTATGAAATCACGGAGAAAAGAAAATCCCCATGGTGAGCCTGCAGTGGCCTGGCAGCGGTGTTTCACACAGTGCCTGTGAGCACGGCCCGCTCTGCACGCTGCCTGGCTGTCTCCAGTACTGCAGCTCTCACTTTGGTTGGAGGTTCTGTTCTTGTTATTTCCTCTCCAGGCCACGAGTGTTTCCTATGGTGGTCTTTCTCTTTGCCGCAAGTGCTTTCGGAAGTACTGAGGGTAAAAGTGATTTAGAAGCGTTATGAGTTAGCAGATTCAGTTCTGCTGATTAAAAGCTAAGCAGCGTGAGCAGTTCTGCCTTGTGACCTTGTGTTGATAAGCAGAGAGCAGTACTGCAGGGTGCTTCCCCAGCTAATTAAGAAACCTGGCTGAAAAACAAGGAAGCCAACAAAGGGTGAGGTGAGTGCTAACAGGAAATAAGTGGTAGATATTTAATATTAATGAGCTGAAAGCTTGAAACCAGCTTTACAAAACAGTGATACAAATTGCAACGAGGATTAGACTGACTGCAATGCAAAGTTTTATTGCAAAGCTATAGTTGTGTTTAGAAAAAGAAAATCACAAGTGCTAGCATAGCTCTGGCGCTGAAGAGAAAAAGAACCCTGTGTAACAGCACTTGAAACCACCCAGAAAGTTCTGCAAAAAAAGAGATGCTTTCCTGGTGCTTCTTCCACCAACACCAAGTGGGTGTTGGGTTCCTCTCTGCAGACAAGGTTTGTTCGGTATGGCTCTGCCTCCGAAGTTGGCAAAACCTTTGTCTTATTAAAGAATATTTTCTTAGGTAAGAAGTTGAGGATTTTTTGTCTTTATCTTTTACTCAACCATCAAAATAAAATATAATGAACCTAAACCGTGACTTCTAAAACCAAATGCAAGCTTTGGGGTGCCTGCTGTGTCAGATGATGAGGGTATGAGATTGCTTCTATTTAAGTTGCACGCAGAAACAGTGGCTTTAAGTCTGGGGAAAGACAGTTCTTCGTGGGCTGACTGTTTAGCCAAGGAACTAAAAAATGTGTTTGAAATTGTGGAAATTTGCTCAGTTTTTGAATTTTTAAGATAAGTTTGTGATCTTGCCAGTGGCCAATAAACAATCCTTAATATTCTAAATCAGTGTATTTTATATGTAAATTCTTACTTGGGCAGCAGTCTCAGGTGCGTAAGTGTCTTCAGTGAGAGTCCATATGTGATGAGGTGTGCAGAATTAGGCTTAGAGCATCCAGCTGAGCACTGAAATGTATCAGTCAGGCATTTGGCATACTTAGACCCTGTGGTGTGTTGTTTTGCTGAAATGAAACAAACAGAACCTCAGTATAGTCCTCTTGACTGCTAGCTTTCCAATTATGAGGCAGGTAAGCACTGTGAAATACAGTAACTTTACAGATGGTGTGACACAGCTGAGGGAAGGTGGGAGCAGCTTGAGTACAAGTTCTATTTATTTTATTCTATCCAACTTTGTTGGCGACTCGTTTCATGCCTTTGTTAAATGATCATTTTGGTGAGCGGAAGGTTGTATAGAAGCGATCTGAAGAGCAAAAGCTGAGTCTAAGAAATGCAGTGGGAAATAGCGAAGCACAAAGAGGGGAGAGAAAACTGAAGAGTAGAAAATGGAATGGAGTGAGCGTGGGTTTTTTTCACGGGTTTGGTCCAGTCAAAGACTGAGCAGTTAGCTTCTGTTGCTGAGTGAAGGCCATACACTAGATCTCTGTGCAAAACACAGTCTGCATGTCAGATGAAACAGAATAACCTTTAACTCTTCCCAGGCTTTGTGTGGTTGTTGCTGTTTTTTCCCTGACAAAGTTGAGTGATATATGATTTTATCTTTTTAACAACTGGTCTGTGTTTCTGTGCTGTGCTACCACCCTTTAAGGGGGGGGGGGGGGGGGGGGGGGGAAGACTTTATTTGATGCAGCTTTACATGGAGGGCGCACTGCAGTAACACCAGGACTCTTTCCTGCTTAACATGATTAAAACGTCAGCAGCATCTTCCTGGCAAACCATGTATTTGTCAGTCTGGCTCTGGTTTTTGGCTGTCTATGCATGGTCATGTTCCAGTTATTGAACTGACAGAACTTTGTTTCTCTAGCTCGTAGTTCCTCTGTGTGATTGTTTTTGCACTGCTGCTGATGGTTATTCAGTCTACTGCATGGCCAGCCAGGCAGCTCTGAAGGTTTGTTCAGTGCATTATTTCCTTCCTTGCGGTTTCTGTCAGTGAAAACGTCTGTAAATCTGCTTATCTGGGTGATATTTCCATCCCTGGTGCAAGTAACTTTGCTGTTGATAACCTGTAATTTGTTAAAAGTGTAAGGAATTTCTGCATCATGGATAAGTAAATTTGTTTGTCACACATCTTCTACCCAAAACATTCACTGCCTGCAAAAGCATTTAATAATAATTCCCAGAAAGCAATATTGTCCAGATAAATTTTATAGCTCCAACCATGCACTGTTCTGTAAAATGACAAGTATATGTTATTTTTTGAATGAAGCAGAAATAAACTTTCATTTCTCTCCAATTATTTTTTTAATTTAGTACCAAATTTCTCTCTGTCCTGGAAGTACTTAATTCCAGCTATGAACAGCAGTCCAACTGCCTGCTGTCTCTTCCTCAGAGAAGAGAATTTTGAGTTAATTCTTCATTTGCTGAAGTAATACTTTGTTTCAGTACCCTGAGAAATATTTCTGCCATAGCTGT